ATAAATGTCTGCTTAATTTGGGAGGGGGTTACATGTAGAAGATTACAAAAGAAATAATAGAGCAGACATTAAGATGAGCTGCAAGTTTCTGTGACAAGGTAATGCGGTCTACACGGAAATACATGTGAATTCTAAGTAAGGTTTTCAGCTTTTCAAGCAACTTAGAATCTATCACTCACTAAGAGTCTGAAAGTTCCTTGTCTCAGATAGACTTTAATGCTTAGACTGCATTATAGTCACTAATTTAGGTGGATTCCACTTGGAAATAAATGGCACCAGGTTTTTCTATTGAGCACCCATACAAATATTTTAAAAAGTCATCATCATGAACCAAATCCCAACGAAGATTTATTGAACCTCCACTATGTTACAGGCATATAAAATTGAATTTTAAAATTAAAGCATTAAGAAAAATTGAAGTCTCTAAAACTCTCCAAAAGACAGAATAAGAGAAGAAAGCAAAGATTCTATTAGATCATTAACTTTCTACGAGGCAGGAAAAAAGATGCAGAACAAGCTCAGACCAAAACGAATTCTAACCCTGCCTGTACGACTGGCAGCTGTGGAAGTGGCTATAAAACGGAGATGATAACGCCGCGTGGGTTAAATAAGATAGTGCGAGAGAAACACCCAGCATGTCCCTTGCATGTTAGCAAATGCTCAACAAATCATGAGATTTTTTTCATTAAGTGTTATTAGTAATACCAACTGCAAAATATGAACTCTGCTGCTATTTTAAAAGTTTTGTAAAGAAACTCTCACTGCAGTTAGCACATGAAAAATTCATGATAGATACTTGCTGACTGAACAAGCGCCAAATGAAAGTTGAACTGTGAGGCACCAGCTCTCAGACAGGGTCAGAACACTTCCATCTGCCCCAGTTCTTCTGAGAAGGATTTCCCAAGAAAGAATTTTTATCCCCTGGCCATTCTTTCTACCTTTGTGATTGTTAGATTACTTCACTAACAACATAATTTTCCCCGTTTCTCCATTCTGTTGTTAAATCATAAGACTATGATGTTCCAAATTTCTGCTTGTCATGGTTTCAAGAGACTCAGATCAGGTTGGTAGAGCAAATAGCTGTTAGGTGTGTGGGCAGAAAACCAAGTTCAGGCCCATGGTTCTGGGATGAGGATAGATTCCACAGGTTTCCTGAGCTCAGTCTCCCTTCCCCCTGAACAGAGCAGGCCGCTTCTCAGTTTCTGCCATCACAACTCACATTTCTGAGTTCTCCAGGACCTGTTAACACTCATTAGGTCTTCATTTACTGTAAAACGAGGCACTGCGGTGAAACAGATGTGGGAGACACCTTGAACAAGTGGTCCCGGACCTGAGTCCTTGCTTTGTTCTGCTATTACAGTCACGTGATATGTGACCTGCTTTAACTCGATCTCAGTTCTCTCCTTTGTCAAAGGAGACAAGAAGTGGGTCATTAAGAGTCCAGGCTTATGAGGATGGGTATAGCTCAGAGGTAGAGCACGTGCTTATTAGCATGCACAAGGTCCTGGGTTCAATCCCCCGTACCTCAATTTAAAAAACGAAAAAAATGAAACGAAACAGAAAAACAAAAGCTAGTCATACACACAAAATAACTTAAAAAAAAAGAGCACAGGCTTTGTAGTCCAAAATGTGGGGCTTCACACCTTGGCTTTGGGGCTTAAGAGCATTGTAGTTTTGTGCAAATTACTTACCTGCTTTTCTAGACCTCAGCTTCTCAGTTTATAAAATGACAAAAATTAATAACATCATAGGCTAATTAGATAAGGGTCAATGAAACAGCATCTCTGATATACTTATCAGAGCATAAGGCACATAGTATCTCATAGTAGCTTCCTCTTCTTATTATCATTGCTATTTTGAGGGTACCCAGTGTCTTTCATGCCTACAATTGTAATCCTCCATGCAAGAACCTCAGCTGGTTTACACTACAGTGTGGAAGGCAGGACTATATGGCAATGAACTACAGAACAAAACCAGAAAGCAGGGTTCCAGATCTAAAAGAAGTCAGAGGAGACGGGAACTACCACACGTAAACCAGCAAAACAAAGTAGATGTAACATACAGGTAAAAGGGTTACCAAGACACCAAGTCCAGTTCGGGTGCCGGAACACCTAGACAGAGATGCAGTGACTGTGCCTCCAAACGAGGATGAGTTACGTGAGTAGAAAGCACTTACTGTACTGGAGGCATTCTCCCCAAGATATGCAAATGAATTTTACTGTGTAATTCAAAAATGCATCATATCACATTTCATGAAACTTGAGTCTAAATCTATAAATAAGATACACACTTCTTGCCCTTTTCAGTTTTCTATGGAAAAAAAAATTCAGTGCAAAATTCAAAAATTCTAGTTCACATATGACACAGTGGCCAGATTAAACTACGGTGTTTCATGGCAGTAGTCTGAGAGTTTGAAATCTGAATTGGCTGATGAAAGGCAACTCAAAAGGACAGTGAACACAAACAAAACTGTATGGATTTTGGGAGCTCACCAAGAAAGAATGGTGCTAACAAACAGACTCTTATTCCTGCGAATTTGTTTTACAGAAATCTGAAAATTCTCTCTTTAAAAATAATGACTGGAATGTAAAAGCAATACAAGTTAGATATTTGCAGTGCAAAGGAATATTAAAAACAAAACTAAACTAACAACCAAAAAAATGCTTCTTATCCCTGACCTAATGTTCCTCCAGCTCGGTACCTCAGAGGCCGACAAGTCAGTGGAAAGAAGATAAATTACAGCAGATGTAAAAACATAAAGTGCCAGAAGTCAAAGGTTATGATAAGTCTATAATGCATTTGGGTCATAGGAAGAGAAATCCACAGATTTAGCAAAATACAAAAAGGGAAAAAAATAACAACCTAGCCATTTCAAAATTGGTTTTCAAAAATTATTTTTTCTAGAAAACGCAATTCTGTTGTTGAATTTGTTTTCCTTTTATGCATCAAACTTAAATACATCAGAAGCAGAAGTATTAAAATCAAAAGTGGCAATGTGCCTCGATTTCCTCTAAATCTGAGATTATTATATTCCTTTTTCCTTCTAAGTGTGGTACTCTAAACTAGATCCTTCTGTCCCTAGCCTCTCTCTGAGGTGTTGTGTGTGTTCACTGATTTTCAGTTCACTAAGAATTTCTGGGCCCCTGATTTCGGTTTCAAAGCTAGTGTCTAAATGTTGTGGATCTATGCCGCCGATGTTAACGACAGTTCTGATGCAATCGATTACACAGTTTGTGACCAGCCAGGTGAGAAATAAAGTGTCACATGTCACACACAGAAAACATGGGGCTGCTGGGGGTTCTCAGCAAGCTCGATGTCTGACATCTCCTATCAGGCATCCAGGGGCGCTTGGGTCAAATCTAACCACCATGCTGGGTGGGTAATAGATACCTTCCAGGACGTCAGTGACAGTGATGAACAGGCATTTTAGCTGGCCCTTACACACTTCAAACTGAAAATAACCACAGCAAAACTTTATTGGAAATAACACCACAAAACTATAAAGATTTTTAAGTGTCTTCCCAAATAAAATACAAGAAAAAAAATAACATGTTTAAGAGACACAGCCAAAAGGAAGCCAAAAAGAAGACGAAAAGAAAAAGCCTCATTAGAATCCATCAGCACTTACTTTTCTGCATGAATATGAATTACTTGAAATTATTTTATACCATCTCTTAAGTTAAAATGCAAAACTGTAAGGATCAGGAAAATCAGCAAAGAACACAGCCAGCAGTACACATTCCAGTACGAGCCATGGCATCTATACTGAAATAAACCTAGTACAAGTGGGTCCTTGGGGGCTGGGGCAGAGGGCAAACAAACCCGAGACACGTCGTCTGTTCCCTGAGAGTGGTCCCTTTGTTTTATCAAAAGAAGAGCATCTTAAAATGTTCAAGTACTGTTCTATACGATTTGATGCTCACGTATACTACATAAACATTGTACGGCAGCGTTCTCCACGTACACCTAATTTTAAAGTTATTATACACTTAGAAAATAACATGCTAATTTTTCAAACTTACAATGAAGTTAAAAAGAAATGATCATTTTACTTAATATTCTTCTTAGTGTCAAAACACCATGCAACTTCCTAGAGATCGGTGTGTACAAACAAATTGTACTAACACTCAAAACCATCTCTGATCTGTTGCCTGTTGCAATATAAGTCTGTTTCAACTTTGCTTTAAACTTAATAGCATAGCAACAAAATAAGCTTAAAAAACGACAATCAACTTACCCTTTATTATAAATCTGCAATGTTGCCTCTAGTAAACATACTTCAAACCCAGAAACTCACTTGATTTAAAAAGTAGCATTTTGATAAGTAACAGAAATGCTATTTAATAACATGCTCATGATTTCTATTTACTTTCTTACTTTCAAGGAGCTTCATCACTTTAATTTTTTAGGAAAGTGTAGTTACTTGCAATATTATGTTAGCTTCAGATGTACAACATAGTGATTTGAAATTTTTATAGATTGTGCACCATAGAAAGTTATAATGTTACCGACTATGTCCCCTGTGCTGTATATTACAGCCCTGTGGCTTACTTATTATATAACTGGTAGTTTGTACCGCTTAATCTCCTTCACCTTTTTAGTCC